GCTGCTGTGCCCAAAAAGAAAGGAATAATGCTGGAATTAATTTCCATTGGCAACAAGGAACGCCGTTATTAATTATTAGATTGGAACCTGACCTAGGCGAATGCTACTTGAATTACTGTACTTTCTGGTTCATAAAAGGCTCTGGGCCTGTCAGGTCAGGTGCACGATATGCCAGCAGGCTCTTATTCCGCAGTATCTGCTTCGAATTTTTTCCTTGGATTACGTTCTTTGTTTGAAGTCTTATGATTTCCTCTGTTCTGTTCCCTTTTGGCGTTCTCTTTGAAACATGTCGAAAACAATACATCTTCCCGTTTTTCAACAAGTTTACCCTTTGATCCATACTTCGTATTATCACGTGTAGGGGTGACTGTTAACGGGTTTTGGACCGGATGATTAGATTGGTTGCACTTATACACTCGTAACTACAAGCGGTACAGCGCTATAGCTGATTTTCACATTTTACAGTTCACTCTTACACCCACTAATGTCCTCAATCTCTTACAATCCCACTAGCCGTTTCCTTGAAATTGATTTTAACACAGGAACTATAACAGTCTCACTGAATCACACGCTCCAAATAGCCAAATATCACTTTAATATAGCATACATAAAGTCTTCACAACCAGACTTTCAAATCAACTGAACTTCACTCAGTAATTCTTATGCCACGATTCCTCAGTTCAATTAGTCTGATCCCAAACTCATATCCAGGCAGGCTGGCGTCTCGAAACTCAATTGCCTTAAAATAAATCCTTTGTCCTTTTTATAACCTCTCGGCACGGACCGTACAGAAAAAAAAAACAGCTCTTCTATTTTTGCGTGAATTAATCTCCACGGAAACGTGTTCACTCGATTGTTCCATAGCAACGGCTGTACTCGTCACATCTCTTATCTTGACAATTCCTCTATTATTACCTAGCAACGGCCGTTTCTCTGGCTCTACATTTCTTGCTTTGTGCAAATACATCCTCGCCCGCTTAAACACTGAGATCGTGAGTTCGAATCCCACTTCAGGCATGGATATCTGTGTGCGTTTATTCTATGTTTTGTGCTGTCATATTCGTACAGGTAGCGGCGTTGCGACGGACTGAGTCCTACCGACTGCGCAACAGAACAAGAAACAGAAAAGCAGCCAGGGTCCAATAAAGGGATGTAGAGCCATAGAGAGATAGATAGACTGACAAAATAACTCTATGAATTAGAATTATTCTTAAGAAGTTAATACTTGCTCACCAGTTAAGACATTCTGAGTGTTCTATGAGCCCGAAGGTTCGTTATCGTGATCACAACCCGCCATTAGTTCCTATCCTGGGCCGCGTGAATATAGTCCAACCTTTTTCTTTAAGGTCTATATTATTATTATCATCCAATCTACACCTCGGTCTTCCATGCTGCTTGTTTCCTCCACGTTTTCTACCAAATCTTATGAAAATTTCTTCTCTTCCGCGCTTGCCTCATGTCCTACCCATCTCAAGCTCCTGTTACCTATCGGATAGGAAGTTGAATGGGCTGCAGACCCGATATTTAAGCGCTGACGAAGAGAAAAATTCCTACCTCTACCGAGAATCGAAATCCTGCCATTAAACTTGTATCCGGTCACTATGCTAGCTCATCTATCCGGCCTATAAACTGCAAGCTGTTAGCCCAATTTTGATGTGACTTGTATCTCGCCGAAAGACCTTGCCATATCTCAGGCGGTTAGTCGCCGACTTCCCACCGCTGCGGCCCGGGTTCGAACCCTTGTCAGGTTATGTGGGATTTGTGGTGGACAGTGATACTAGGGCAGGTTTTCTACTAGTACTTAGGTTTCCTTTGCCAATTCGCATTTCACCGACTACTCCACAATCATCATCTATCATCTGGGGATGCTACAATAGGCCAAACAGTGACCGCAGTACAAGGGACTTAGTCCCAGTCCACGAGAAAAAAGATATTCGCATTAAGTGGAGGAATTGTTTTGGAAGAGACTGTGGACCTGCCGTCTGACAGATTACTGATGATGATGATGATGATGATGATGATGATGATGATGGCTGATGTAGGCACCCTTCGAACTTTGGAGGAAATGCAGATCTAACTGTACGCCTGTTCTCTCGAATACGGCTATTCATAAAAAATTTGAACATGGCATAAACGTAGATCTTATTAAGATCTCTACACTCTCGTTAAACCATATTTCGTTATGGCGGAAATGTAATGAACTTGCAAGAATTTCAGGCAGGTCTGCTGTTACGTACTCCAAGGTTGCTTCCCTCAGTCCTCCGATTTCAATAAGCCTGTGACTCATCCACCGCGAAGTGAAAGAAGAACGCACAGTAACTCGTTCAGTGGGTTTGAGAGTGGACCTATTGATACGTTACTTCTGAGACCCGCGTTATCCGGAAGAAAACAGTTGCTGTTCTGGGTTGTAACGCCTTGTAGTTCGTAGTCACCGGTGTGCGGGCATAAGATCCAGTCTGTTTTAATTCTCTTAGTTTTCTTGTAGTGGAACTCGTGGTAGCGTAGTTGGTTGAGGCACTATACTACAAGCCGGAATGTCGCGGGTTCGAATTCCGATGATGGCATTGGATATTTTCAGTTGGCCCAATCCTTCCAACCGCACTGTGGTTCCGGGGTCGACTCAGTCTTTAACAGAAATGATTACCAGAAATTTTCCGAGAGCTAAAGGGTGACCGGAGCGTAAGGCTGACAGACTTACCGCCATCTGTGAGCCCATTGTCTAGAAGATGTGGACGCCTCAAAGTGCCACAACCCTATGGGCTTTCACGGCCTGTTACATGGATAGCTTTACCTTTTTTTTTTTGTTGCCTTTCTTGTAGTTTCCGAGTCCGCTTCTCTCTTGACTTTTGCCTCTTTTTTATCTCTCTCATATTGCAGCGTGTAGAGCCATTGCTATGCAACGACCGCAAGATAGGTGAATATACCACGGCCGTTTCTGGGCAACGACTCGGTAAACACGATTCTGTTGTTCAGCAGATTCTTAATAATGCAACAGCTGGACTATAATAATGGAGTAGCTGTGTTTTCTATGTGGTCCGTGTCGAGAGATTATAAGCGAGACGAGGTTTGAAGCTTCGTAAGTTGAGAGTCAGTTCTATACGGAAGTCTGTGAAAAGAGGACTTGAGCCGGAGATAGAGGAATAGCCATTGTTGGAGACGTTTTTCAGAAAACGTCTAGTAACAGACTGAGAACACTAGACTGTGTGCTCTAGTAAACTGTAAATTGTGGAAATAGCCATAGTGTTATAGTTATTTGTAGCCACGACCTGTAAGCGGTCAGTAAATATGTTCACCAAATCAAACCCCGTCTGTAGTCACGCATAAACATAATATTTTTCTTCCGTTCCTTCACATTCTTATTGCCTTCCTTCTTTTCATCGCCCTTCTTCTTGCACATATATCATTACCGTCATCATCATCACATTTCAGTGCTGTGATCCGCATAAGTGTGCGTTCAGTCTGTGAGGTGTACCGGGAGCTCATTTTTTCAACGTGCGTGGGTTACATAAGGCCAGCAAATGCGCAGCCTATAAGCAATAGAGGTTACAACTGTGGACAGAATAAATTAGTCGTTTCCTCTAAAGGTTTCAAGCCAACATTTTTTTTCTCGCGTAGCGGATGATTGTTAATCTATGTAAACACGGACGGCGCAAGAGATTAGTACTTTAATTATCACGTACCTTCTTCGCCCGCTCGAACGCTGGGATAGTGAGTTCGAATCCGACTTAAAGCAAGGATATTTTTGCGCGTTTATTTTGTGTTTGTGGTGCCCTGTGTGTAGGAAGATGCCTTGCGCCATGCTGATGCTACGTCTGAGGAGTCCTACAGCCTGTTTATAGGATTATGAAACTGAAAAGGCGGCCAGGCCCCAACAGAGGGCTGTAAAGCCACAGATGAATTAATGGATTATCACGTAGGCTAATTAGATATTCATGAATGTTTTTCTTCTTTACACTAGAATGCTTATTTTCTATCCTTGCTGTTTCTTCCCTGAATTTCGAAGTTTTACCCCCGAGTTTCTATCATTGCCTTTGGGTTATTTCTATTGTGGCACATCTCTGACGTAACGAATATACTGACCCGCAGGAGGCCTATTAGCATTTTCTTTTTTCGTTAATTTATATAATCCCTGCCCCAATTTATTCTTTATTTTTGCAGTCGTTTACGTTAAATGTAAAATATGTTACGAAGTTGCTTACCAATTTCCTTCCTTGCGCGTTTTGCATTTTATATCCAGGGTCTCGGCTACTTTTAGTGAATAACTAGTCAATTCATATTCCCCACCCTCTGCGGTACTGCGAAGAATTTGTACATCTTTTCAAGCAGCTTGGTTTAAGGGGTAATACCTTACATGTCTAATGATATTTATGTATGCGTGCTATTTTTTCATATTATTTTTCTTGACTTTATTAATTTGTAGCTCAAATTTGCATAATTTTCCTAAAAGACATGTACTCATTTGCCAAAATTTTCACGGCCTCCCCCTCCGTCAGATTTTGTTAAACTTCTGAAGAAGTCACGCACCGCCACTGACCCTCACAGCATGAACCTGTCATTCTCTACCGAGAGTTTACAGTAAGGAGCAGAACCGCAAAATATTCATTGATATGTTTCAACGAGAAGATCACAGTGGTATCGCGGTCCAAGACAAGAAATATCTTCGCCCGTTCGAACACTGGGATCGTGGGTTCAAGTCCCACTCAAGGCATGGATGTATGTGTGGGTCTATTCTGTGTATAGGTAGCGGCCTTGCGACGGGTTGATCCCCCGTCCAAGAGCCCTAGTTACTGTGCATAGGAATAAGAAACTGAAAAAGTGACCAAGGTCCAAAGGGCTGTAGATCCAGAGAGAGAGAGAGGGAGGGGGAGAGAGAGAAAGGTTTCAACGAACCTACGCCGAAGTATGTAATAGAGTGTTTTCTGTTATTTTTGTTTCTAAATGGATCACTTGACTTCATTCTGTGCTCATGCACTAATGATCATTTATTATAATTGTTACAGATCCCGTTACACTCTTCTGCAACTGGCAAACGTAAGTTCCATCATACTGACTGCAGTTTAAGAAGATCACAAGCCGCATAAATCGTAAACTGGGCAATAAAATGCACAGGGCTTGGTTTACTGTTATATTCACAAAACATGAGAGAAAATAAATACGCGTTGAAGAAGTTTATCTTCGCGTCACATTATACACAAGAGTAACGTGTCGAGATATTTCGAATACTTAAAACAGTTGAGGCCTCCGAACCACGTGCAAAAACAATATTCATATCTTTATCATCAACAGATTTGAAGAAGGTATTTCTCACGTAGGCATATATACAAAATGAGGTCGACTGCAGGTACCGATTGTGATGCAGCATGTTCACAATCCTAACGAAAACCAGATACCTCTCTCCTCCAGGTTAGATATCAGGTTGCCCAAGTGACGCTTTCGTAACAAGTGCATATTTACAGCGCGAAATTTATTTCTGTAACAAAAAGCGGCGTTAGTTATGTCGTAATGGTTTTGTTGATAGCGCAAAAGGTAAAGCTATCCCTGCAACAGGCCGTGGAGGCCCATATGGTTGTGAGACGACGAGGCCCCCACATTTTCTCTAGACAGTCAGCTCACAGATCGTCACAGATAGTCCTGCGTTTCATTAGATCAGCATAATGAGTACCAGTAGAGCCGACTCCATACATCTAAACTGTGTCCTGAGGGAACTGTAAGCAGCAAGGAAAATGTACGAAGCGGTTGTGTAAATTTATTTCTCCCTTTCTGAATTCTTCTTCGTTGTCTCTGTTACCCCATGTCAATGTCTCATTACAGAATTTCACCAAAGTTCCAACCAATTTTTAATATTCGAGTTTTCACTAAATGTAATTCCATTTGAAGAATGGCAATGACATTCTGAATGATGCATATGAGATTTGAGGGTGTCATAGTGGTGAGAATTAAGACTGGATCATCTGAGTTATGATAATCCAGTTTAGTAGATGGTTTTAGATGCACCAAAGGAACCTACTGCCTCCATCTTCTTCTCCAGAACACTGGCAACAACCTACTAATCTGCACTTCTACCAGTCAGACAAACCCCATATGTAAGTCACTTAGACCCCTTCCCCCTCCTGTCTGTATGTGTGTGTCTGTGTAAGTTCTACCTGTTTGCTGAGTGACGTGTCATTGCAATATGCAAATGAAACTTGCCTTCTATGAAATGTTAACCACTGTCTCTGGACTTCGAATTAACGTACCCTTGAAAACTTTGTTGGGGGAGCTGTTTGTCGCTAAACGTAAAGCTATCTCTGTAACACGTCGTGGAAAACCATAGTGTTGTGAGACGTCGGGGATCCCACATTTTCTGGCCTTGAGATCGTCAGCCTTACGCGCCGGGCACCCTTTACCTCTACGAAGTTTCCCGGTACTTATTCTATTAGAGGCTGAGTCGACCCCAGGGCCATAGTGTGGCTGGAAGGATTAGGTAAATTTAAAAATTTCAGTGACCTCGTCAGGAATCGGAACCTTGACCTTCCAGCTTGTAGCATAGTGCCTCAATTAGCTATGCTACCGTGTGCCCCTGTTCATTAATTAAATGACGATAAATTTCAGTCTATTTCAAGGTCTGCGACAGAAACTTTTACGGACATAAACTGTATAGATAGAGAGATACGGAATCTGACAGAAGCGAGATGTTCAGTGTAAGAAAGAGTGAAGAGACAGTCACAGCCATACATTTTACCCACCAATACTGCTTGCCGATTGTCATTTCCCAGTACTTCCTCCCCACAAGTTAAGAATTACGGTCACAGTAGGCGGAAGCTAAAATCACCCTTCAAAATATAAAAATAGAAAGGGATTCAGTGTGTAAATAAAAATAATAAGCTACAAACACGGGAAAAGAAAGCAAGCCTGAATACTCGGATAGAATTGTTCATGTTGTACTTAAATTAATTAAATTAAATTAACCTGACCTTAGTATTTTTTCTTTTGCTGGTGGGGTGGGAATAAGTCCCTTGTACTGCGGCCACTTCTGGCCTATTGTACGAGCCCCAGATAATAGTTGAGGGTGATTGTGGAGCAATTGCTGGAATGAAGATTGGCAAGGGAAACCGAAGTACTCGGAGGAAACCTGCCCCAGCCCCACTTTGTCCACCACAAATCCTACTTGACCAGACCGGGATCGAACCAGCGCCTCCGCGGTGGGAAGGCAGCTGCTAACCGCTTGAGCTGTGGCGCGGACTTGACCTAAGTAAGTTCCCTAAGTCAAGAAAATGTGGATCTATACACCCACTCCCCCATACACCTTCATGGCGTAGTGCTTAATTACTTAAGCACAGGGACAACTTTAACTTTTACCTGTGTCTATTAAACAGCAATTCAGTGGCAACTGAACTAATCCCCAATGGTTTATAAGTGTCGGTGTTAAACTTCCTCCTCATGTTTTTCAGTTGGCAACAACTATAATAAGCGTTAGGCCTACTTACATTTCGCAGAAGAAAATGGGACATCCTTGAAGCATCGCTTATATTCCCGTTGTATATTTTCCTGGTGTCGTGTTATAGACGCATCGATTAGCTTTCATGCAATTGCCACTTCTAGTATCTTTAGCATTATGACTACCATGATAATTAACCTAGTTACCAAGAGTTCCGCAACTTTTTGCCACTGCCTACTACGACTACTCGTACTGTGAATTAAACATTGTTACACAGAGGCTGAACTAGTCATTATTGATGTGTTCTCTATTCTTCGATATAATGTCGTATAGTGCGGTTTTCGGAGGAACATATCGCGTCAACCTTAAAGGTCAAAGATAAAGCGAGGCAAGAAACTCGCAGAAACATTCAGCTGTACTTGCTGCCTGCTTCGTAATTCTCACGTAAATAACTGAAATCTCCAAAATCTGTATCTCTGGCTTATGTACATAAAACTTTGCTCTTCGGTCCTTCGCCTGTCATTGCAAATTTACATTAAGATAACACTATTGCACTAATACACTAAACCTGATACTAGAAGGCACGCATATAACAAAAGGATATTTTACGTCTGGACTGCTGCTAGTGGTGCCGGTTCCCTGGCTGGAGCCACGTGGCATTTGTACAGCACATTTCTCCCATCAACCGTAATAAATTGTGAGAAAAATAGTCAGAATGTAGCCTGTAGGTTGTCATAATAAATAAACGATTTAATTATTTTAGTATTATCCATCATAAGAAAAATGTTATGGAAGACAGGGCGTTTTCGCTGGCGTTGTGTATTGATGTTGATGTCTGTTGTTGCTTGTGATTTAGAAGCTCAGCAGTAGGAAGTTCTCTAAAGTTACTGCAGTAGGAGAGTTAGACAGCTGTCGCAGGTCTTCATTACTCTATGCATAAAGTATGAATTTCTGGACCTGAGACTCGGAAGCCTCTCCACCGGCTCAGGTCGAATCAGCTGCAATTATGTCGATAAAAGACCCTTTGAACGTATCTTTATGTATTTTACGGTATAAGTTTCAACTTCATGGAAGCTGGATCAGGTACTGTGATGGCTGAGAAATAAATATATGCCGGAATATTAGTAAATAATACATTACCGAGGTGCCTGGGGCCGTAGTTTCGCAAAAAGTTTCTCCACTGCTAGGTAGTACCAAGGCCGCATTTCTTTCTCGTCTTATCTCTCCCCTCCCCCCCCACCCCAAGTCCTTTTATTTTCTGAAGATCATTGTACACCCACACAAGACTAAAAGAAAGACGTAGAACAGACCTACACATATTTACAAAATGCGTCTCTTACAGGTTCGAACTCCGTTATAATCTTTATTGCTTACTCAAATCAGTATCTTCGTTTATTTCGTGTCTTGCACTGAACTCTTACCCCAGAAAAAAAAAGCAAGCGCTACAAATTCGTAATGCTGACCACTACTGTATTAAGAAAAGTAATGTATTTGTTAACTTGTATTTAGTGCCACAATGAAAGACGTTTGAATCAAATATGCTATCATATTTTATGTAATTTATAAGTCTTTTGTACCATAAGCAGTTTTTGAGAAACTCAGGAAATTTTTTTGTTCAATTTGATTGAGTTTATTGGACGGACAAATTAAATTCACTCCACAACATTTAGTGTCAAGTGCAGTCTCCAACGCCGATCACTGTAGCCGCGCGGTCTAAGGCATGAACTGTTTTAGCCCGCTCAAACAGCGGGATCGTGGGTTCGAATCGCACTTGAGGCATGGATGTCTGTGTGCGTTTATTCTGTATTTATGCTGTCCTGTGTGCAAGTAGCGGTCTTGCGACGGGCTGCTCCCCCGTCCAAGGAGTCCTACCGACTGTGTAAAAAAAACCCAAGAAACTGAAGAATGTGCCAAGGCCCAGCAAAGGGCTGTAGAGCCATAGAGAGGTACATAGTAGTCTCTTAACACGAAACTCAATCTATATCCAGTGAATAGTTTCGGAGTTGAAATATGCGAACAGACTAAAGGAGTCGAGATTATACGCTCTTATAGGATGTGACAGGGCGTACCAAAGTTTTTGAGGAGTATGCTGCCTCCTGTCTCCGTCTTGTGCCCTGGAAATGGATACAGCAGACTCCTTAGAAATGATGGCCCATATTTTTTTTTGAGATCCCCATTTATTTGCAATCTGTATGAATACATTTAGCAAATTGTTGTGAGTTGTGTGAAATGACGTGTGGAGGGGAGCTCATTAGTTCCCCTCCGTATATCAATAGGTTGGGGCCTGGTGGGAGAAGGGGAGAAACTTAAGCTAAACTTAAAACTAAACTACTAACTAAGATTATATTTTGAATCTGGTGATCAGATCGATTGGCTGGTGTCGTTTGAGGCGCCTTAGGTCTGGTCGTTGAAGTAGTTGAGCTGCAAGTTCGTTGGGGTGTGTATGTAGTCGAGCTCTATATTGGGAGCTCCATTGGCTGATCTCTTCCTTGATTGTGTTGATCACGCCTGATGATCGTATTTGGGACGTACCATGGCGCTGCCCATATTTACGAAATTAACTGTGACACAACGTAAAGGACCACAGTCTTGATTCTCCGGAAGACCGTCAAAA